TTGCATGATGTGTAGAGGAGACCCTGTCTTTGAACATCTGGCCCAGCACGGACAACCAGGGTGCCAGGAGGAGTTGTGCTTCAGTTACAATCACTTCCGAAGCAGATCGAACCCCTTCACAGGCTGCCAGTATCTCTTCTTCCTTTGGGGTATACCTGGCCTCAGATCCTTTTTATCCCCGACTCGAAAAGCCGAGGGGTCGACCATGAGTCTCCCCTGGAGCTTTCTGCCAGAGGCTCCTGGCAGTACCATTCTCCCCAGCTGCGGTGTAGAGTACATTTTTTACATCTGGCCCAGTCCGACCTGGTCTGAGGGTTAATGCATGAAGTATCTCTCATTTAATTTGCTCAAAGGCTTGTTGTTGCTCAGGGCCCCATTTAAAATCTTTCCTCTTCCGGGTCACACGATAGAGAGGGCTTACAGTCAAACTGTAATTTGGGATGCGCATTCTCCAGAACCCCAGAGCACCCAAGAAAGCTTGTGTTTCTTTCTTATTAGTTGGGGGAGACGTTGCTGTTATCTTGTTGATCACATCTGTGGGGATCTGTCTACGTCCATCTTGCCATTTTATTCCCAAAAAATGAATCTCCTGTGCAGGTCCCTTGACGTTACTGTGTTTTATGGCAAAATCGTCTTTCAGCAGGATTTGGATTTTTTTCCTCCCTTTCTCAAAGACTTCTTCTCCTGTATCGCCTCACATGATAATGTCATCAATGTATTGCAGGTGTTCTGGAGCTTTCCCCTGTTCTAGTGCAGTCTGGATCAGTCCATGGCAAATGGTAGGGCTGTGTTTCCACCCCTGGGGCAGTCAGTTCCAAGTGTACTGGACACCCCTCTAAGCAAAAGCAAGCTGTGGCCTGCACTCTGCTGCCAAAGGAATGGAGAAAAATACACTGGCAATATCAATTGTGGCATACCACTTGGCTGCCTTTGACTCCAGTTCATACTGAATTCTGGCATGTCCGGTAAAAAAGCACTCAATGGTGGTGCGACTTCATTCAGGCCACAATAGTCTACTGTTAGTCTCCACTCTCTGTTAGACTTTCGCACTTGCCATATGGGGCTATTAAAGGGTGAGTGGGTCCTGCTTATCACTCCCTGACTTTCCAGTCTACGGATCAGCTTATGGATGGGAACCAGGGAGTCTCGGTTGGTGCGATATTGCTGCCGGTGCACTGTTGTGGTTGCGATTAGCACTTGTTGTTCCTTGACCTTCAGCGACCCCACAACAGAAGGATCCTCTGAGAGACCAGACAAGGTGGACAGCTGCTCAATTTCCTCAGTCTCCAAAGCAGCAATACCAAAAGCCCATCGGTACCTTTTTGGGCCTTTGAAGTACCCGCTTCTGAGTTATTCTGTGCCAAGGATGCATGGAGCCTCTGGACCAGTCACAGTGGGGTGCTTTTGCCATTCCCTCCCAGTCAGGCTGATTTCAGCCTCCAGCACAGTCAACTCTTGGGATCCTCCTGTCACTCCAGAAATATAGATGGGTTCCACCCCTTGACAGCTTGATGGCATCAGGTTACACTGTGCACCGGTATCTACTAGAGCCTTAAACATCTGTGGGACTGATGTGCTAGGCCATCTGATCCACACAGTCCAGTAAATCCGATTGTCCCCTACCTCCACCTGGCTGGAGGCAGGGCCCCTGTAATAGTCATCAAAACGTTGGACACTTAAGTTGTGGTAAAAGGGATTATTCTTCATTATCACAGGAGCTGGAGTAAAATCAGCTCTTCCACTCCATCTGGGAAACTGCTCACTAGAGACTGAAGCCGCATCTCTCATAAGCTGATCAGCCTTGACCCTTGCTCCCCTCTTCAATTCACACACCCGTTCCTCCAAAGCTGAGGTAGGTTTGCCATCCCACTTCCTCATGTCTTCTCTGTGATCCCACAGGTAAAACCATAGGGTTGCCCATGGCATACACCTTCTGTATCTTCCCTCTCGAAGAATAGGACGCCTTTTGTTAATAGCTGAGACGTGTGTTGGTACACCTGAGGAGCTGGATAAATCAGATATAGATCATCCCTCAATTGTTTGAGATCCTGGGACAGTTTTTTCACAGCTAAGATGATGGAAGGGGTGAGATTGTCTTCAAACTCTCATAGTTTATGAATCATTTCTTCCACCGTTAGTGGTACTATGTCATTCCAGGTTACTGTTGCCAGTGAATGGGCATATGATGATGGTGCATTCCGTGTCAGTTTTCGCCACATGGGTTGCGTACATTCGACTTCATCTGGATCTATGGGTATATCCCTGTTATTCGGCTTGATGTGATAGATCATCTCTACGATGGCTGCTTCTCTCAGAGACTGGTTGCCTTTGTCTAAAGTAGACCACTTGGCCGAACAACTCATAACATCATCCTTGTATGGAAACCTTTCTTTCACAGCAGCCAAGAGCCGCCTCCAAAGACTGAGGGACTTTTTCTCTCTTTCAATTGCTTTGTCAATTCTCCCTTCTCTAGCAAGTGATCCCAGCTGCTTGTCTTCTGTACCTTCTAGTTCGTGACCATTGGCCCCGTTGTCCCAGCATCGGAACAACCAGGTATGATATGTTTGCCTCTTTTTTGCTTGTTCTCTTGCGTACAGGGGCAACCAATATTCGCACGAATTGGTCCTCACAGTTTAGCAAACTTTGGTTTGAGTAGCGACTGTACTTGTTGCTGGGGGTGGTGTAGCTGCTGTGCTTGGAGCTGGGGTAGCTGAGCTGTCTGTTGCTTTGCCCTCAGATCCAGGGACATTTTTTTTCCTTTTGAAGGTGCTGGATAGTGTTGAACAAGGCCCTGTGAGCATAGTCCAAGCCCCAGCACATTGCCATGATTTGTCCATCTCCGGTATGGCCAAAATGACAAGACACCTCATTTAAGTGTTCTACTAATTTTTCTTGATTTTGCAATTGTTCGGTTGTGAAATTCCAAAGTACTGGAAGGGCCCACTGACCTAGATACTTGCCTGTACTATCCCACACACCCTGCCACTCATGGTTGTCCAGCCTCGGGGAAAGTCTCTTCGTCCTCCTATATCATCATTTAACCTCAGACAAGACCCAAACCTGACTCTGCTTAACTCTTGAAATCATTTTAAATGGCTGTGGGAAAAAACACACTCTATATGGTGATCCCCATCACAATTAGCAAACGGGTCTCAACAATATTAAAAGGCCATTCAAAAACTTCAAAACTCTTGAATGATGCTGTAAACAGCTGGGGGGTGAGGGGGGAGTGGGTCTGCGGCTGGGAGTGTAAGGGAATATCTCCTTCACAGGTTGACCACCCAAGAAGGGGAAAAAAGATGTGTAATTGCTAAGCACTTCTATTACATACCTCCCAAAGTATAAAAGTGGTGACTGCACTGGGAACATAAGCCAGATCAGTTGCATGATCAATGAGTCTAATGTATTGCAAGTCATTACCATAAAGTGCAATGAGACAAGAACCTGAGCCCAAGCCCCACACTTGAAAAACACTAACACAGCAAATACCAGCTCTAAGTAAGGTACTATATACTGAAACTGAGATCAAGAGAAACAACTTTGAGAGCGAATAAATCAGCATTGTGTCGAGTGACTATTAATCCAAAACAATGAATGCTTATCACAAACACGATTAGAAACACTCTAGTCAGATCTGTTGTTATCTCAACACCTTGGGCCCTGCGTTGGGTGCCAAAAAGAACTGTCATGGTTTAAACTCTGTCGGCAAATCAGCCACGCAGTCCAGGCCTCCCCCCCCCCCCCCGCCCCAAAGGGATGGGGAGGAGAATCAAAAGAATGTAACTCCCACGGGTTGAGATAAGAACAGTCCAGTAACTAAGGTATAATACAAACCACTACTGCTACCACTATTAATAATAACGATGATAGAAATAAAAAGGGAAGAGAATACGATACCACCCGCTGAAAACGAGCCCGACCGAGCAGAGAGTGCCCTTCCGGGTAACTCCCAGTTACATCCCGGGCATGACGTGGTGTGGTATGGAATACTTCTTTGGCTAGTTTGGGTCAGGTGTCCTGTCTCTGCTTCCTCCCGGCTTCCCCTCCTCCCTGGCAGAGCATGAGACTCACAAAGTCTTTGGTCAGAATAAACATCAACATTATGCTTCGGAGAAAACTCCAGGAACACACTTGCCAACAAAGTTTTCAGGCTGACAAGCAGGTATTCTTTATTATGGTGCCGGGAGACACGGGGGATAGCTCCTCCTAACATGTGCCCCCCAATTGCCACACAACCCGTCCTTTTAGAGCCACTGGGCATACATACATAGTCACAACTATAACGATTTATCTTGTGAGAATTCTCAGTATGTTCTCTAGCTGTACTCTATTTTTTTTTTCTATGTGTCATGCACCTCAGTAATTTTCCATTGCTACTGTTACAAAGCCATCAAACTTAACATTATTTAAAACTAATTCTACGGGTTTATATATTCCATTTTGTGATTTTGTGCTGCCTTGTCTCAATTCCCCCCTTTTTCTGTCCTTTTGCAAATTCTTTTGCAACATTTTGTATATTACCATTACCATTACCATCACCATCACCGTCAAAATTCTTTTTGAAATAACCAATTGGTGCTTAATTTCATTACTTTTCCAATCATGGACCATTTACAACACCAGAGGGAACATTGTATCATACCACAAGCAATCAATATTAAAATAATTAACATCAATATTCCTGCAGCCAGTTGCCTCAACCAGGAGAGATTGGGTAACCATGAAGTCAACTTTTTCCATATTTCTTTAAAACCCCAGGAGGTGTCATCCATGGCCATTTCGTGAAATATCTTAGTTTGTTACCAAATTTCCTCCAGATATGTTTCGATTCTGCCACTTTGGTCTATATAGGAACAACAGCTTTCATTGATTATGGAACAAACCCCTCCTTGTGATGCCAATAACATGTCTAGAGCCATTCGGTTTTGTAATACCACTTTAGACAGGCTGGTTAAAAAAGGGTATTACAGCACCTAAGGTGCATGCCCCTTTCCAGTTGGGGGGGGGAGAGTCTTATAAGGATTTTCTCCACATAACCAATACCATCCTTTCCCTTTAGGAGTAGGCCACCTGTCCTGGGTTCAGCAGTAGCAGTCATGTTTTTCCTTTGTGTTAACTGGTGCAGTGCTGTGTTTTGACTTCTAGCTTGAGAACAGTGTTGGTGAAGCCGATGTTGTCGGTTGTTGCTAAGTGATGTTTACCCTGACCAAGGACTCTGTGAGGCTCATGCTCTGCCAGGGAGGAGGGGAAGCTGTGAGGACGCAGAGATGGGGCGCCTGACCCGGGCTAGCCGGGGAGGTATTCCATACCACAGCACGTCATGGCCGGGGTGGGGGGTAACTGGGAGTTACCCGGAAGGACAGGGGCTTCCGGGTGGAACTCGCTTTCTTGGCCGGTGGTATCATATTCTCTTCCCTTGTTATTTTCCCTTATCATTGTTTTAGCTGATAGTAGCGGTGGTGATTTGTTGCTGGACTGTTCTTGTCTCAACCCGTAGGAGTTGCACTCTCTCGATCCTCCTCCCCGTTCCTCCGGTGCAGGGGGGGGCGGGGAGACGGACACGGACCTCGATTGTTGTCAGCTCGGCACCACTCACTGGGAGTGAGTGAACAAGTTACCTGACTGGGTTTAAACCACGACAGTTCTTTTTGGCGCCCAACGTGGGGCACGAGGGGTTGAGATAAGAACAGATCTGACTGGATTGATAGTCACTCGTCACAATGCTGATTTATTGGCTCTCAAGGTTTTTCCTCTTGATCTCACAGTTTCAGTATATCATATCTTACGTCCATCCGGTATTGGCTGTATTAGTGTTTTTCAAGTGTGGGGCTTGGGCTAAGGTTTTTATCCCATTGTACTTTATGGTAATGACTTGTAATACAATAGAATCATAGATCATGAAACTGATCTGGCTTATGTTCCCAGTGTGGTCACCACCTTTATACTTTGGGAGGTATATGATGGAGGTGCTTAGCAATTACACATCTTTTTTCTCCTCCTCAGGTGCTCAACCTGTGAAGGAGACATCCTTTTACCCTCCTAGTCGTCCCCCCAGGCCATTTACATTTGAGAGTTTTGAATTTTTTGAATGGCCTTTTAATGCTGTTGAGACTTGTTTGCTGATGGTGATGGGAATCACCATGCTAACACGCATACAGAGTGTGTTTTGCCCACTACTGATTTCAAGAGTTAAGCAGATTCAGGTTTGGGTCTTGTCTGGGGTCAAACGACGATGTAGGAGGACCGAGAGATTTTCCCTGAGGCTGGACAGCCATGAGTGGAAGGGTGTGTGGGATAGTATGGGCAAGTATCTAGGTCAGTGGGCCCCTCCAGTACTTTGGAATTTCACTACCGAACAACTGCAAAATCCAGAAGAATTAGTAAAACACTTAAATGAGGTGTGTGGTCATTCTGGCCATACCAGAGATGGACAAATCACGGCAACGTGCTGGGGCTTGGCCTATGCTTACAGGGCCTTGTTCAACACTATCCAGCACCTTCAAAAGGAAAAGAATGTCGGCGGATTTGAGGGCAAAGCGACAGTCGCTACTCAAACTTTGGCTGCAATGAACTGCGCAGCTACCCCAGTGGCAAGTACAGCAGCTGCTCAAACTTCAACTGCAACAGACAGCGCGGTTACCCCAGCTCCAAGCACGGTAGCTACACCACCCCCAGCAACAAGTACAGTCGCTACTCAAACCACAGTGATAATCACTGCAGCCAAACCAGAGGACCAATTCGTACCAATATCAGTTGCCCCTGTACGTAAGAGAACAAGCAAAAAGGAGGCAAAAAGGGTGAAGCGAGATGAAGAACCAATGAATTCACCACCCGGTCCAGAATCCGATCAGGAGTCATCATCACATGATGAAGAAGAAGAAGAAGAGGTAACTTCTCGACCTCGGACCTCAACCGAGCTGCGGAATATGCGAAAAGATTTTACCCGTCAACCAGGGGAGCACATCATCACCTGGTTACTCCAGTGCTGGGACAATGGGGCCGATGGTCACGAACTAGAAGGTACAGAAGCCAAGCAGCTGGGATCACTTGCTAGAGAAGGGGGAATTGACAAAGCAATTGCAAGAGAGAAAAAGTCCCTCAGCCTTTGGAGGAGGTTCTTGGCAGCTGTGAAAGAAAGGTTTCCATACAAGGACGATGTTACGAGTCGTTCGGCCAAGTGGACTACTATAGACAAAGGCATCCAGTCTCTGAGGGAATCAGCCATCGTAGAGATGATCTATCACATCAAGCCGAATAACGGGGATACACCTATAGATCCAGATGAAGTTGAATGTACACGACCCATGTGGCGAAAACTGACACGGAATGCGCCGTCATCATATGCCCATTCCTTGGCAACAGTGACCTGGAATGACATAGTACCACTAACAGTGGATGAAATGGTTCATAAACTCCGAGAGTTCGAAGACAATCTCACCCCTTCCATCATCTCAGCTGTGAAAAAACTGTCCCAGGACCTCGAAAAATTGAGGGACGATGTATCTGATTTATCCAGCTCCTCACGTGTACCAACACACGTCTCAGCTATTAACAAAAGGCGTCCTATTGTTCGAGAGAGGAGATACAGAAGGTATACGCCACGGGGTACCCTATGGTTTTACCTGCTGGATCACGGAGAAGACATGACAAAGTGGGATGGAAAACCTACTTCAGCTTTGGAGGAACGGGTGAGTGAACTGAAGAGGGGAGCAAGGGCCAAGACTGATCGTCCCATGAGAGCTACGGCTTCAGTCTCCGGTGAGCAGTTTCCCAGATGGAGTGGAAGAGCTGATTTTACTCCAGCTCCTGTGATAATGAAGAATAATCCCTTTCAACACGACTTAAGTGTCCAATGCTGTTACGACCATTAGAGGGGCCCTGCCTCCAGCCAGGTGGAGGTAGGGGACAATCGGATTTACTGGACTGTGTGGATCAGATGGCCTGGCACATCAGTCCCACAGAAGTATAAGGCTCTAGTAGATACCGGTGCACAGTGTACCCTGATGCCATCAAGCTGTCAAGGGGTGGAACCCATCTATATTTCTGGAGTGACAGGAGGATCCCAAGAGTTGACTGTGCTGGAGGCTGAAATCAGCCTGACTGGGAGGGAGTGGCAAAAGCACCCTATTGTGACTGGTCCAGAGGCTCCATGCATCCTCGGCATAGACTACCTCAAGAGAGGGTACTTCAAAGACCCAAAAGGGTACCGGTGGGCTTTTGGTATTGCTGCTTTGGAGACTGAGGAAATTGAGCAGCTGTCCACCTTGCCTGGTCTCTCAGAAGATCCCTCTGCTGTGGGGTTGCTGAAAGTTGAAGAACAACAAGTGCCAATTGCGACCACAACAGTGCACCGGCGGCAATATCGCACCAACCGAGACTCCCTGATTCCCATCCATCAGCTGATCCGTAGACTGGAGAGTCAGGGGGTGATCAGCAGGACCCGCTCACCCTTCAATAGCCCCATATGGCCAGTGCGAAAGTCTAATGGAGAATGGAGACTAACAGTAGACTATCGTGGCCTGAATGAAGTCACACCACCATTGAGTGCTGCCGTACCGGACATGCTAGAACTTCAGTATGAACTAGAGTCAAAGGCAGCCAAGTGGTATGCCACGATTGATATTGCCAATGCATTTTTCTCCATTCCTTTGGCAGCAGAGTGCAGGCCACAGTTTGCTTTTACTTGGAGGGGTGTCCAGTTCACTTGGAACCGACTGCCCCAGGGGTGGAAACACAGCCCTACCATTTGCCATGGACTGATCCAGACTGCACTGGAACAGGGGCAAGCTCCAGAACACCTGCAATACATTGATGACATTATTGTGTGGGGCGATACAGCGGAAGAAGTCTTTGAGAAAGGGAGGAAAATAATCCAAATCCTGCTGAAAGCCGGTTTTGCCATAAAACGGAGTAAGGTCAAGGGACCTGCACAGGAGATTCAATTTTTGGGAATAAAATGGCAATATGGATGTAGACAGATCCCCACAGATGTGATCAACAAGATAACAGCAATGTCTCCACCAACTAATAAGAAAGAAACGCAAGCTTTCTTGGGTGCAGTGGGGTTCTGGAGAATGCACATCCCAAATTACAGTTCAATTGTAAGCCCTCTCTATCATGTGACCCGGAAGAAAAATGATTTTAAATGGGGCCCTGAGCAGCAACAAGCCTTTGAGCAAATTAAACGCGAGATAGTTCATGCAGTAGCACTTGGACCAGTCCGGACCGGACCAGATGTAAAAAATGTGCTGTACACTGCAGCTGGGGAGAACGGTCCTACCTGGAGCCTCTGGCAGAAAGCTCCAGGGGAGACTCGAGGTCGACCCCTCGGCTTTTGGAGTCGGGGATACAAAGGATCTGAGGCCAGCTATACCCCAACTGAGAAAGAGATACTGGCAGCCTATGAAGGGGTTCGAGCTGCTTCGGAAGTGATTGGCACTGAAGCACAGCTCCTCCTGGCACCCCGGCTGCCCATGCTGGGCTGGATGTTTAAAGGCAGGGTCTCCTCTACACATCATGCAACTGATGCTACATGGAGTAAATGGGCTGCACTAATTACACAACGAACTCGAATAGGAAATCCCAGTCGTCCAGGCATTCTAGAAGACATCATGTACTGCCCAGAGGGCAAAGATTTCGGAATGTCACCAGAGGAGGAGGTGATGCGCGCTGAAGAGGCCCCATGATATAATAAACTGTCAGAAAGTGAAAAGCAGTATGCCTTGTTTACTGATGGCTCTTGCCGTATTGTGGGAAAGCATCGGAGATGGAAGGCAGCTGTATGGAGTCCTGGATGACAAGTTGCGGAAACTGCTGACGGAGAGGGTGAATCGAGTCAATTTGCCGAGGTGAAAGCCATCCAGCTGGCCCTGGACATTGCTGAACGAGAAAAGTGGCCAGTACTTTATCTCTATACTGACTCATGGATGGTGGCAAATGCCCTGTGGGGGTGGTTGAAGCAATGGAAGCAGAGCAACTGGCAACGCAGAGGTAAACCCATCTGGGCTGCTGCACTGTGGAAAGATATTGCTGCCAGGGTGCAGAACCTGGTGATGAAGGCACGTCATGTA